TATCAGCACAAGTTCAAGTCAGGAACAAAATTGTAAGCTTTCCCACCTCATACTAATGTTTGTATGTTTGTACATGACAGGTTTCCCTCTGAATATGATTCTGTTTTATTCCCTATCCCTTCATTTGTGTGCTTATTTGTACAAGTCAGATGCAAAAAGTCAAATGTATGCAAGTTAAGTGTCTAATGTTACTGCATAAGAGTGGTATCCTCTAATTCATGAATAATAAAACAATGGTGACCCGACTTTCATATATTATTATACATGTATGTCAAGTATGCAATGTATGCTGTGCATTAAGGGTCAGTAGGGGAAAATGGACCAGATACAAGGGAACATGATTTTGTGGAGAAATAAAAATACTAATAACTTCCTGCTGCTTTCCTGTTGTGAAGATGAAAGCGAGGATGCGAAGAAGAAGACAGCCAAGCTTGATGATGACATTGTGCAGGCGACCCGGTACCCCAGCGGATTCCGGCCGCAGCCCGACTTCCCATCCAGAATCGAGCGAGACGATTGGCCAGGACCACCTTCTCCTGCTGCCACAGGTAATACATGTCACACAGCATGACTCTATTTTCTTTAGTCCATTTACAATAGAAAAGGTGTACATATACTGGCCACAATCTCTTGCTGTCAGGGGCTGATTGGGTCTTCTCCCCAAGAGCTTGTGGCCATACACCCATTCCTATCTGAGAAATACTGTCAGGACCTCAGGATTATCAGTACAACATGTAGTATCATGTACTACAGTTAAGTTTGTTGCAGCACTTCTTGCAGATTAGTGAACTCTCAGCAGATTGCTGCTACCTATTGCCCCTGTGCAGGCAGAGAAAAAAGTTTGACAAAAATTTGTCCCTGGTGCTTATTACAAGGTAATAGCTGACAAATTCTCTTTTTTATATGACTATCAGTTAGAAATGTTTTACTCCAAACAAGTATCAACAGGTGTAAGAGTACTGTGAGGAGAGGTACAGGTAATGTTTTGCTGAATCCGATCACCATTTTCGTTGTCGTAGCTGTCAAGGCTCGTAGCTCGGAGGTTAGTCGTGAGGAAATAATCAGAAGCATGAGGGTTCCTGCGGGGTCTCCCAGTGTAGACAGCAGGGAGTCCCTGGGGGACAGCTGGATCAGTTCACCTCCGACCTCTCCGTTTGGAGATGCCTCGTCTCCAGAGTTCTGTAGTCCTTTGCCTTACGAGCCAGGTAGGAGTCTGACTTTGCCAGCAGAAAGTCCCTTTTTTCACACCAGAAAAAAACACAAACATTTTGTTATCAGTTCTAAAATTATTTGAAAATCTGATCACAACTTCTGGTTGGTTCATATTAATTTGGATGACTTACATAAACTGCAATCATGTCCAAATGCACATTTTGGACTGTGCTTGTCAAAATGTCATTTTTACGCTTACTAATTTGATGGCTGGTTGACCTGTGTTATATGGTCTTGGAAACAAAGTATTAATATAAAGAGCACATTTGTGTGTGGAATAAAGGGACTGTAGCAGGCGTTTCTGTTATCCACTTGAGTACACTGCATCCAACCATAACCTAGCTCCTCAGAACCTGACTCTATGCTCTCGTAGACAAACAGTGTGAGATGTACATCCTTTAGAATTTAACCCATGTACCAGTCTTCAGAACTACATTTACCACATGTTTGTATTTGCAAAAATTTTCATCTCGAATGCTGTCGATTGACACCAACATCATAACAGCAAAAAAAGTGTGAAATTATGACCTGTAACATACTTGAAGTGACTTGAAGTCTGACACACAGCTGTATAGAATTGTGGCTAACCCACAGTTGAGATGTAGTTGAGACCTGGATGCAGTGTTCTCATGTCCCAGTGTTGTTGCAGCCCCCTTAAGTCAGGGGTTCATAGCCAGCCTGCAGCGCTTTCCCTCCGGTAAGAGTCCCACACAGACAGACGATGTTTTCTGGCCTCCCCAGGAGGCTGAAGATGAAGAAGGTAGGTTCAGACACAAGGACATTGTGGCTTCTCTCAGTTTCTGTTTCCTCCAGCCACACTAATGTGATTTGTTGGTTCTCGAATTTTTGCAGGAAGTCAATGAAGCAGGCAAGGGGGAAAAACAGGCCCTGGGCATCCTGTGATGGTCCCAAACACTACAGAAACCATAAAAGCAACAAAGTCAACAAACTAAGCTGGTTTATAATTCTAAAAAATCTTTTGATCAAATCAATCATTATTCTGTATTGATAATAGAAAAATCGTAACAACTACAAGGCAAGGGATTTGTTCAAAAGGGATTTGGAGCTGAAATATGAGTATTTTGGAGGTGATTCTGACCCTGAACTTGATGTCTTTATGCAGGTCGGAAAAAAAGAAGGCAAATCCGAGAACCCACAAATCAAATTGTTGTTTCCTTGTATTTTTTCTTCATCTGTGAAGCTTTGGTTGTAAAGTGCTGAGGATAAGTACTACCTTATTGGCAATGCCTTAGGTGGAGCGATCTCACAGTGCATCTTTACATGCCTACAGTAGTATGTAATTTAGTGCATTACAGAGTCACTCCTTGGTAGAGTTGGCAGCTTTTGGCAAGTTTTCTTAATCATTCCATTTTACTCTTTTTTTCACCTTTTTTTTGTATTACTTTCCTTCTTTCACCCTCTCACTCAGCATTTCTCTTCTGTTTTCATGATTTCTCTTTCATTTTCCTTTCCACAGTTTTGTGTTTGTGACTTTCCCTCCCTCCCTGTGTGTCTGTCTATTTTTGTCTCAGCACCTTACAGCCATAGCTCGTTTTTTCAGACATTTTCCTAAGAAATGTTATAAAGCAACAACGTTTCCCCTCTGGCACGGGGCCTGGAGAGGCTGAGTATGAAAATTCCTATTCCATGGGGAGGAAAACTCTCGGCTCTGTCTACTCACCTTCTACAAGTGTTGGTAAGGTTGTCATAGAGGGTAGAGTAGATATTAGTCTTTCAACCTTCTTAATGTGTGCCATAAGAAATACCTGTACAACTGAGCACTTTTACACAAGAACTACATGCCCAATGTGACTACTTTGATGGTCCCTCAAATAATTTTCCCTCGACACAAGTAGTAAGAATCCTGTCTATAGTGACCACCTGTGCACATAACCAGATTTTATTGGTCACATGAGTGGTCTTCTTGCAATGCCCATTTCTGACTGTAATTATAGCAAACTACACTCTCAGGGCTTCTTTCCTGTACCACTTCACTGTTTGGCCTCTTCTGTGTTTTCCTTGTGTTCCAGAATTGTAATCATGGTTACCATAGTTCTACCTATGGGTGCAGCCTGTTTTATATGTTAAGACTACGTC